TATATTTAATTATATAGTATCGTGTTGAAATTGAGCTGAATATATAAATCATTTAACAAAATCCACTACACATCTATATGTAATGATTATTATTCATCACAAACTGATTTAGTTATTAGGAAATATATTTTCGTTAATATATATATATATATATATATATATATATATATATATATATATATATATATATAACTTATGTAGTAAATTATATTTATTTAAAAATAGATTATTTTTCACTTTATGAACTATGATAGCCACACTCGGTATTGGACGATTATGATTTCTTATATTTACGCGAACACTACACATTGAAATAATACTAATTTTTACGGAATTTAAAAAAAATCTGATGTAGTGACGGGGGCGATCCTGTACATGTTCACAGACTGCAGACTTCCCGGAGCGTCGATTCTTCAATTCACAAATCCTCGCTAAAGAACACCGATTCCTTCCAAGGATGATTCGCGAGGCTATTGAAATCAAAAAACATCCTAATTTCAATAGAGAAGATGGCTGGGTGCTACCATCTGCTTGGGATCCTATAATAAATAAAATTAAATCCCAACCCAAGCATACAACTGCAAGACTCCATGATACCATAAGTTCATACTGTGTAGATCGGAACAAAAGTTAAATTTTAATCTATGGTAACCGCGGTTAACTATGACAGCTGGACGTTGAACATCTCAGTCCTTCCCGTGACCATGGGTGCTGTAAAGCTCTCAAAACGTCGGGTAAAAAAGTTAAATATACGCGATAAATTCCGTAAAAATTAGTATTATTTCAATTGGACGATTATATTCACAAAGTATGAGTTTTAATGATAAAATTACTTTAATATTATGTTAAAAATACTCACAGATGAAAAGTCACATTGTCATTTTGTATACTTGACGTTTTTGATAGTTTTTTTCATGTGCATTTTCATCACACTGCAATTCGGCATTTTGTCAGAGCTCGATTTACTGGCATGACCACTTCGGAATGACGCACGAAGCGGAGCAACTAGTTTTATATAACGAGTATGAGTCGGACTCTCGTACCTTTTAGAGGGGTATGCCTTGCGATGCCGTCTCCTTTGGTTTAATACTCAAAGTAAAAATCATTTAAATTTGATAACTCTCACAAATACACAAACTTAAAAATTAGGCTAAAATTGCATACCATTTAAAATTTGACCTTTTTGCTTTAGGTAATTATATCAAGATGTGCATTGCGTACCGTGTGAAACTAAAATTACCAAAACAGAAATCCTCTCTTTCTATACGAATTTATGATACCGTCGCAAGAATAAGAAACAATGAATATCAATGAAGGACATCGCATCGGTTTAGTTCGTGGGCCGTGTTGGCATATCGTTCCGGTGTTTTCGTTTTACGTTTTTCAAATCTAAGCCTTGTGCCTAATGAGCAACGAGAAAGATCATTTGACATTTGATAACTCTCACATCTACACAAAGTTAAAATTTAGGCAATTTTAACTATTTAAAATTCGACCTTATTGCTTTAGCTATACATTATATTTTGCAATGTGCACCGTTGTGTGATAACTACCAAAACATCGCAACGATATCCATATTTGCTTCATCTCTTTCTATACTTAATTAAACTATCGTTGCAAGAACGAGAAGCGATGAGTATCAACCAAGGTCATCGGTTAGTGGGCCGTTTTCAGTTTTGGGATATCGTTCCACAGTTTGCGTTATGCATTTCGGTTTCGTTTTCGTACGTTGGTTAGGTATATGGTTTTGGTTGGATATCTCATAACGGTTTTGTACTTAGGTTTATCGATATGATATGATATTTGATAACATAACGTTATTAAAACTACTTTTATGGATTTTATCGCGTTTTATTTATATTAATTTTAATACCCGACGTTTGATTATAAGAATTGCATGGCAACTTTTGATAAACGCGAAACAACTAAATACAATGAATGCAAAAATAAACATATTGATAAATACCAAAAATTAACAACTAAATCAAATGTCCAACATCAATGGCAACGTAAGAACGAAACGACCACAGACACGAATAGTAAACAAGGCGTGGTCTATAACCTGTCAAAACAAACTCTGGACGACGCCACATTAAAAGTTTTAGGAAGAGGTTTTAATTACGCAATTACACCGCGAAGAATCCCGTATGAAGACATTATCTGTAGTGTTGAGGATTGTCTGTATAAAAATAATATTGGTAATGAAGATTTAGAGGCCATACGCCAAGACATTTCGTCTATGTTACGTCGAAGTACAGCGCCGAAATTAAATCTTCCCAAAAATGAATTTAACGCGTTAAAAACCTTACGCAACAGACCAGAGCTTACGATTCTCCGCGCAGATAAAGGAAATGCTATGGTTGTAATGGATACGTCGGATTACAATTTTAAAATACAACAACTTTTGTCGGATGAAAGTACATACCGTAAGGTCAAAACAGACCCTACAACTAATACGCTTAAAACAACTAGCGATCTAATTAAGAAATACTCCGAGAAATTGAATCTAGACGTCAATTCGATAATACCTTCGTGTGTAAAACCTCCCAAGTTGCATGGGTTACCAAAAATACACAAACCTAACGCTCCATTACGTCCAATAGTGAGTCAAATCGATTCGCCAACGTACAGATTGGCTCAACACTTAGCCAAAATATTATCACCACTCAGAGGACACACAAGAGCACATACTAAGGATTCATACCATTTTGTCAGTGAGATAAAAGACCTACGTCTTGCTGACAGTGAAACCATGGTCAGTTTTGATGTTCAGTCTCTTTTTACATGCCTACCTGTTGAAGACTGCATCTCAATTATAACTAGGAAACTAGATGAAAATAACATGCCACCAGAATATGCAGTGCTACTAAGACATTGCCTTACATCTGGCTATCTATTGTGGAAGGAAGAGTTTTACAAGCAAGTAGATGGTGTTGCGATGGTCTCACCTGTATCTCCCATTGTCGCCGATATATTCATGGAAGACTTTGAGGAGAAAGCCCTCCTTACTGCACCTGTTATCCCAAGGTTCTACAAGCGGTACGTAGACGATACTTTCACAATTTTACCATCAGACAAAGTAACTGCATTTTTAGAACATCTTAATTCCATAAACCCTAAAATTCAATTTACTATGGAGTTAGAGGCAAATAATTCCTTAGCTTTCCTAGATTTTAGTCATCCGAAATCCTAACAACACCATAAGTCATACTGTGTATAGAAAAAAGACCCATACAAACCGATACTTAAATGGTGAATCTCGCCATCATCCTTCACAGTTAGCTACCGTGGGCAAATCTTTGTTTCAGAGAACACGAGGAATCTGTGACAGCAAACACCTGGCCGCCGAGCTTCAGCATGTCAAGCAGGTTCTGCACGACAACAAGCTTCGGGTCCCGCGCCTCCGTCACAGTGACCGAGTGAAGCCGGCCACAGTCGAGCGTGTGCCTGCTATACTACCATATGTCAGAGGTGTCACAGACAAGATTGGCTACATCTTGAAGCGAGCTTCTATTAGAACATTCTACAAGCCGCCGAAGAAGATTAGTCAGTTCTTACCATCCGTCAAGTGTCATATTCCTCTACAAGATGCAGGGTGTACAAGCTTGATTGTGATTGTGATCTCTCATATATAGGGCAAACAAAGAGATCAATTAGAACCCGCGTAAAAGAACACATAGCTGACGTGAATCATCAACGTTCCGGGAAGTCTGCAGTTTGCGATCAAAATTCTAGATGGCCCCAACCATTATATCAGATTTGATAGACCACAAATCCTCGCGAAAGAACATCGAGTCCTACCAAGGATGATACGTGAGGCTATTGAAATTAAAAAAACATCCTAATTTCAATAGAGAAGGAGGCTGGGTACTACCACCTGCTTGGGATCCTATAATTAATAAAATTAAAACTAAACCCAAGCATACCACTGCAAGACTTCAAAACACCGTTAGTTCATTCTGCGTAGATCGGACCAAAAACAATAATTAAAAAGCTGAAGGTACTCCGGGTTAACTTTGACATCGGGACGTCAGTCACCTCAGTCCCCCGTGATCATGGGTGCTGGAAAGCACCCGAAACGTCGGGTATTAAAATGAATATAAATAAAACGCGATAAAATCCGTAAAAGTAGTTTTAATCAATGTATAGTGTTCGCGTAAATATAAGAAATCATTATAACGTTATTAGTTACGTTTTGATATATCGGTCTCATGCCTAGCGCTTTAATATGAACTTGAATGACCGTCGTTATCAATAGTCCGCTGGGTTGAGCTGTCGTCAAAACCTCCCAAAAACTTCGCAATGTGATGCATATTGTGAAGAAAAAATATATATAAATAAAGATTCCGAAAGAAATGATAGGCTCTGAAGAGCTAGAACCTAGAGCCGTAAAGCCAGTTAAATAAAAAAAATGTAGTCTTTGCTTTGACTCTATAGCCTATAGCTAAAATGGAAGATTGGGATTGACAAGTATGCGATTTTCATAGGTAATTTTATTTTTGGATGCGTTTACGTTTATTGCCTATAAAGATATAATGCGTGTAGCTTTATGAAGCACAATAGGAAAAAAATATGTGTTTGTAAAAAGAAGCTTTAGAAGTCTATTATAGTGTTTTGTAACTGGTTGAAAAATAACTTTCGATTGATAACAAAAGATATAAAAATATAGCCTTGTTTCGTCATGTATTATTTTTCATTACATTTGTGCGGCTAGAATTAACAAGTCATGAACATTTGCGTAGACGTTAACAGAAGTGTTTCTACGTAACTACGGGAAAGTGATTTTAAAGATTGTGACGTCACAAGTGAAAGACAATAAATTACAGTAACGCTCTACAATGTTTTTTGGTAATTATCGGTGAACGTAAGTGTACAAGTAGACGTGGTGAGGGCAGAGTTCACGGCGGAGACGTTGACCCCCGCGAGGATGGGCGGCGATGTCTGCCCCCTCCGGAAACACTGCAAGCCCCTCACCATGTGCATGTACTAACATATCTCTTATGCAATTGTTCCACGAGCTAAAGCAAAAGTTCCCAGGTGTTCCTGACCATGTTGTATCCAACACCATTGAGCTTTATTGCCATGACAAGCAAGCCTGTGAGACACATCTCCACAGAGAAGTCAAGGCCTCCCTAACACATGCCTATCATGCATCTTCGTCGGCCGCTGCCCGACAGCTCAATGAGCTTAAAGTGAATGCACCAGTTAAATGTCGTAATCAACCAATTATAAAACATGAAGCTGTGAAATCATCTGCCATAAAATCTATAACTTGCCAAGGCCCTCAAAAAGCCCTCCTTAGCTCGAATATAGCTGAAGAAAATGAAAAAAAGAAATTGAATACTGATGCTAATCAAAATGTTGTTGAAGTTACAAATAATATAGAAACAAATAAAATTGCATCACCAGTAACAATAATTAATATCGACAATTGTTATGCTAAGTATAGTGTGGAATCACCAAGTGATATAGAATTGACTAATGATCATAAAAAGGATTTGAATAAAAGTTATCAAAACGAGCATGCAAACAACGCTAATCTTAATAAATCTGAATTAAATCAACCTGAGAACACTAACTACAAAATTTTAAAAAGTAACAAAATTAAGGCCAATTTAAATGAACGCTTAGAAAAGGGTAAAGAAAAAAAGACTATTAAAAAAGAACCTCAACAACCAAAAACTGCAGAGGAAAAACCTAAACGTCCAAACACCCTTGATTTTATTAAACCAAATCCAGATATTGCATTTAAAGAAACTTTAAAACAAGCAGAACCAGAACTTACTAGATCAGTTTCACCAGCAACCTCTACGCAAAAGGATAGTCAGCCAACAAAAGATAAACCAGGCACATGTAGAAGAGAATGCGGATACCCATTAAATTTGTCAGTGAATGTGAATTGTCATATGGACTTAAGTCGATCCTATGCTGATCCTTGGATGGAAGATTATGATAGCCCTAGAGCTATTACATCTGTGAACTTAACTGTTTGTACACCAACATCAAACATGGCTAGTCCAGTTAGGGAGATGAGGGAAGATGATGGAGGTTTTGAAGGACATGTTACTGTGACTGTGAGTCCGAGTACGACACGGCCACCTCGGCGCCGAGCACCACCTCCACCACCAGACACGTCACAACCTCCTCCATCACGCATTGAATCACCAAGGCCTACAAGAGTAGCTCCAGATCCACCCAGTGGACTCAACCAAGTCAATATCGGTATGTTTGCTTTTAAATCAGTAAGGTATATTACTTACATAATATTCTATATTTACAGTAAATAATATTGGCAAAACAGAGATTTATAGGTGATAATGGAAAATGATAATATTGCAACCTGATGTAGATGACATGTCTTAATTTCTCTCACTAATTATCATTAACTTTAAGATCTGTATATTTTGTGATAATGTCTAGTATAAAATCCTAGCCTCCTTCGGATTCTATAGTATAAGCATTATATTGCATGTTTAGTTGTAGCTTGCTGTTAATGCACACACTTGTGGCTCTAAAATACCCACCCTTCCTTCATCATTTATGTTCAGATGCTTTACAAGCTTCCGAACCTTTGTCATTTGCTACATATTTAAATCCAATAGTTTGCTTCAGAATTTGTAATGCATATAACAAAGGAGTCTATAACTATGTGTCTGTAAAGGCAAGTGTGACATTTTAAAATTATTAGTGATCACACCTTTGTTCAGCTACATGTTTAACAATTTATCAAAAAGTTTAACAAAATTGACTTTGGGATAAAAGTCCCGAAATAAATAAAGAGTAACATAAAGTTGACTAATTTCAATACTTTTTGAGGTTAACATAGTCAAAATCAACCAATGAAATATCATTATTATAGGTTTTTTTTATAGAAGTGGCAAATGAGCATACAGCTCACCTGATGGTAAGTGACTACCGCTGCCCATTAACAACTGCAAAACCAGAGGAATTGCAGATGTGTTGCTGGTCTTTTAGAAAGAAGTAACCTCTTTTCTTGAAGGTCCCTAAGTTGTATCGGTCTAGAAAAATTGCCAGTGGTAAACTATTCCACAGAGAGTTCGTATGCGAAAGAAAACTCCTAGTGAAACTTACAGTGGTGGACCACCAAGCATTCAGATGGTGTGCATGGTATCTAAATTTTGCCGTGATGTGCATTCATAAAATTTGGCAGGGATTAATCTCAACAATTCCTCAGAGTGTAGAGGATTCTCTTAAACAGTCACTTCGCGGCAAGCCCTATGTATTTTACACACAATAGTATACCAATAGTCTATAATATATGAGATTTCAAATAATGCAAAATCAGACACCCATTGAACTATGCATTTATGTGTGTGCTATGTGATTTCAGATCATACTCTCATAGAAAGACAAAAAGAGCGCCTCTCAAAGCTTGCTACAGCTTTGGCCCAAGAGAAAAGCCGAGTGGCCCAACTTAACAGGGAAACTCAGATTTTAGCTGCTCCGCCACCATCACCAACTGCAACTCAGAGGCTCAAGAAGTATGTTGAGCGACTACGTGATGAGTGTAATACTTTGTCAAAAAGGCTTGAAATGGCCAATAATGGTAAGTTATCCATACTTATTATTACAAATGCGAAAGTGTGTTTGTTTGTTTGTGTGTCCTTCTTTCCCGTCGCAACAGAGCGTCGGCATGGCATGATTTTTTTGTATGGGGATAGTTCGGTGGCTGTAGAGTGACATAGGTTACTTTTTTCCACGGAAAAATATCTCATTCCCGTGGGAAAATAGAATATGTTGCAAAAGTTTGTCCTTCTTTCACGTTGCACAGAGCGTCGGCATGGCATGAATTTTGGTATGGGGATAGTTCGGTGGCTGTAGAGTGATAGGCTACTTTTTTCCGCAGAAAAACATCTCATTCCCATGGGAAAATCGAAGATGTTGTACAAGTTTGTCCTTCTTTCACGTCCCAACAGAGCGTCGGCATGGCACGATTTTTTGTATGGGGATAGTTCGGTGGCTGTAGTGACGTAGGCTACTTTTTTCAACGGAAAAACATATAATTCCCGTGGGAAAATCGAATATGTTGCAAAATTAAATTCAGCTAGGTGGCGCCACCGTGATTCTACAAGACGAACGACGGTACGATGGACGAACACAGAAGGTCAGAATATCTGGATTATTATGTCTTTTTACCAAAATTAAAATAAAAAATATATGGATCTGTATTTTTCCACGCAGGACCGGGAAGAGAGCAATAAAAAACATAAAATTCACCAGCTGATTTTCTTCAAATGTTTTGGTGCATTGTAATTGGTTCGCTATCCTCTGCCTACCCCGCAAGGTTTACAGGCGTGATTATAAGTATGGATCAGAAATACTATCACCACCTGTCACGCTTTCACCCTAAACTATTACTTAACTGTGGTAGAAACAGTTCTTAGTAAGCGTTATTAATAAGCCTTAGTAATATTTATTGAACGGAAATGAATACAGTTCTTATATGTGGTTATGAATGAATCGGTATTACAATAAGAAAAATTGTGCAAAATTTCAAGAAAAATATTTTTTGAGAGTTCTTATGAGTGTTATGATGTACATGTCGTTACTAGGTTTTTAAAATGCGGTAACGAAATGTAGCTTATTCGACTACCTGCTTTCGATTTCGGTTGTTTGTTATTTGCTTTGTGATTTGGTTAAGGTTGAATGGATTTATATTGGCTTTCATTATTGGATTTGTGTATTTTCTTGGATCGGTTTTATTGATTAGGTTTTTATTCCTTTATACATATTTAGACTCTGGCTTTGATTTTGGATTTTGTTTATTTAGAATCGTGAATTGGTTTTCGTTGTTTTAGATTGTTTAACAATATTTCAAAGGAATATTAATAGTATAGATAGTGTATACGGTACCTATACACTTACTTCTTTTTTCGTTGGTTATATTTATATTGACTACTGCTTTCGATTTCGGTTTTCTGCGATTTGTTTTGTGATATGGTTTAAGTTGATTCGATTTTTTTTTGACTATCGTTTTCAGATTCGTGTTGTGTCTTGAATTGGTTTTGTTGTTTTGATTTAAAAAAATATTTTAAGGAATATTTATTCCTTTTAGATATTTTGAATTTGATTTAAAAAAAAAAATATTTAAAAGGAAATTTAATTCCTTTTAGGTATTTTAACTTTTTTTATAAATAGGTTTTTTGTTACTTCATAATGCCTCGCAAACGTAAGTCCAGCCTTACAAGAGTATCTTCTCAAAGACAAGCGAAAAGATTTGCTCAATCGCTAGAATCTTTAGAAGATGCTGAACTGAGAAGGCAAGAACAAGCAGAGCGTCAGGCTGCTTTTAGATCATCTGAGACACATTCTCAACGTCAGCAAAGGCGTCATGAACAGACAGAGCGTCAGGCTGCTTTAAGAGCTTCCGAAACACCTTCTCAAAGTCAGGAAAGGCGTCTTGAACAGGCAGAGCGTCAAGCTACTTTAAGAGCTTCTGAAACACCTTCTCAAAGTCAGCGAAGGCGTCTTGAACAGGCAGAGCGTCAAGCTACTTTAAGAACTACTGAAACACCTGCTCAAAGTCAGCAAAGGCGTCTTGAACAGGCAGAGTGTCAAGCTACTTTAAGAACTACTGAAACACCTGATCAAAGTCAGTAAAGGCGTCTTGAACAGGCAGAGCGTCAATCTACTTTAAGAGCTACTGAAACACCTGCTCAAAATCAGCAAAGGCTATTCGAATAAGCGGAACGTCAGGCCGCCTTAAGAGCCGCGGAAACACCTGATGAAACTTAACACAGACTCATTGAGCAAGCTGAATGTCAATTACTATGTGCATTGAAAAAGGTGCGAAGAGATGCAAATGCACAGCTCCAAGCTGAATGTCGACAAATTTTTCAAAGAAACAATTGGTCGGTATTTAATGACGCAGCATTCAATTATGATCCGTTGATTGATTATAATAATCAGGTTTGTTGTTATCGGACTGATGGAAAAGGCGTGTAGATTTTGCAGTGCTTTAAAATGTGAGTCAGTAAGTAAAAGATGAGTCCGCAGGCATGTGCTGTTCCAATGGCAAAGTGTCTCTTCCGTTACTTGGGGAACCAGAAGAACCTTTGAAAACTCTCTTTTTATATGATGCTAATGAGTCATGGCGCTTTTTAAACAGTATCCGGAAATATAACTCATGCTTTCAAATGACGTCCTTCGGAGTTGACCGGGAAATAATAATGCCGGGATTTTCGCCTAGATTTACGGTGCAAGGGCAAATTTATCATAGAATAGGTTCACTTTTTCCAGCTGAAAACGAACAGCATAAACTTTTACAAGTATATTTTATGGGTGACGAAGAAATTGAGGTAGACCGTCGCTGCCAATTTATCCAGGGAGTTGAGAGAGACACAGTGTTCAAAATTCAAAGATTCTTGCATGAACGTAACATTTTAGTCAAAACAATTTAAAACTGCTTTAGAAGACCTACCTGAAGAGGATTATAAAGTCGTCATTCACGCAGATCGAACCCCTCGAGGAGAGAATGAAAGGCGCTACAATGCACCTTTGATAAACGAAATAGCAGCCGTAATTAGTGGTGATAAATTTTCTTCACGAGACATTGTCTTGCGAGCACGTGATGATACGTTGCAACGGGTAGCCGATACACACAAGTTTTATGACGCTCTGCAATACCCATTGATTTATTGCAAAGGACAAGAGGGTTATCATTTTCAAATTCCACTCATTAACCCGGTCACAAAGGAGCCTACTTCGAACAAAAAAGTATCATCACAAGTATGGATTTTTATGCGTATCATATGATGTTGCGAGAAAATGATTTTAACAAGTAGACAATTATTTCATCAATTTTTGGTAGAGATGTATGAGAAGGTAGAAAGTGAACGTCTCCGTTATATATCTTTAAATCAAAAAAGCTGCGCGTTGAGAATTATATACATTTACAAGATGCAGTTTCTAGCGACGCCAATGTAAAACCCAGAGATTCAGGTAAAATTGTAATTCTGCCCTCATCATTTGTTAACAGTTCCTGCTACCTATATGAGTACACACAAGACGCATTCGCCCATGTACGAACTTACGGAAGACCTGATCTTTTTGTTACTTTTACTTGCAATCCCACATGGAAAGAAATAACCGAGGAGCTAATGCCGGGCCAAAAAAGTAATGACAGACATGATTTAGTTGCTAGAGTATTTAGGTTAAAAGTACAAAAATTAATGTATGTGATTAACAAAGAGAAAATTTTCGGAGAGGTGAAGTGCTTCATGTATTCAATTCAATGGCAAAAAAGAGGATTACCGCATGCCCACATTCTAATATGGCTTAAAGAGAAGTTGCGGCCCAGCCAAATAGACGACATAATAAGCGCCGAGATTCCGGATCCTGAGCAAGATAAAGAATTGTATGATACCATCGTCCGAAATATTCACGGTCCATGTGGAGCACAAAATTCAATATCGCTATGTATGAAAGAAGGAAAATGTACAAAGAAAAAGGAAATGGAAAGAAGGAAAATGTACAAAGAAATTCCCTAAACAGCTATTAAAAGAAACAGTGCACAATGACAATGGCTACCCTTTATACAGATGCAGAGCTCCCGAAGATGGTGGCAGGAAAGTTATAATCAAATCTCGCTCTGGAGCGTTCGGAAACCTTAGATAACAGCTAGATTGTCCCATATTCGCACATTCTATGTAAAATGTTTAATACCCACATTAATGTAGAAGCATGTAGCTCTGTCCGCGCAATCAAGTATACCTGTAAGTACATAAATAAAGGAAGCGACCAAGCAATATTTAATCTCAGGAGTGAAGGTGAGGCAAATCCCGTTAATGAAGTACAGACCTTTCAAGCAGGGCGTTATGTCAGCAGTAACGAGGCAGCGTGGCGTCTCCTTGGCTTCCCTTTACACGAAAGGCACCCAAGAGTTACTCACCTTCCTGTGCACTTAGTAAATGGAGAGCGTGTATATTTCACCGAAAGAAATTTCCAAGAAAGAATTGCATCACCGCCAGAAACTACACTGACAGCTTTCTTTCAACTTTGTCAAACCGACCCCTTTGCAAAAACGTTGTTATATTCTGAAGTCCCCCGCTATTATACTTGGAACACGTCTAGGAAGGAGTGGAAACGCCGTATTCAAGGCGCGCCTGTTGCAAATTGGCCCGGTGTAAAGTCATCAGATGCCCTTGGTCATGTGTATACCATCCATGTAACTAATTTTGAATGTTTCTGTTTACGATTGCTGCTGCACCATGTTCGGGGTTCTACAGGATATAAAGACCTTAAAACTGTCAACTCATGTGTATCTAATGCACATGAATTGTGGGACAATTATAAAGAGTACATGGCGGAAGATATTTTGCGAAGGTTACTTTTAGGAAGGTTATTTGTACCCCACTTGCTTCCTGAACAAAAACGAGTTTTTGACAAAGTATTAGGACAAATTGAATCTGGAAATGGTGCACTTTTTTTTTAGATGCTCCTGGAGGAACTGGGAAGGCATTTTTGTTAAATTTATTATTAGCGCAAGTACGGAAAGATAAAAACATTGCTGTGGCCGTAGCTTCCTCCGATATAGCCGCCACGCTG